AAMMMAMACAWAMWTMAWWMMAWRCAGTAGTTTTGCACCACCCATGTTGAATCCCACAGGAAGGCAATTTGTCTGAACCCTTTCCGAAAAGACAGKCACATAGTTGCAAAGCCAATCTGATTAATCATTTGAAGCGAAGATGGCGCCTTCAGGGTTTAATTAATTASATAACTTTTTTTTCCSAATGCACGCGATGTCCGATAGCWCTATAGTTYTATTTGSTTTTTCCCTTTTTTTAATAAGTACTTGGAGGAAATAAGCCCTACATCACCGAAGAGGTCTATTAATTGTTTTCGTTGAGTTATCCTCTTCACGCAAAGTATAATAATTGAAATGGGATCGAATAAATTGAAAGTCTTAAACCACCAATACATACCATTCACTTATTTATCAATTTATTGACTTATTCAATCCAAAAATCAATTAATTTATGCATTCACCTGTCTATTAATTTATTCATTAATCCATTAATCAGATCGTCTATTCAATCATCTGTGCCGTTAATTAATCTATCCAGTCATCCAGATATCAATTAATTAATGCAGTCATTAATATATTCATAATTTACTCCATTCATCTATTAATTTATTTAGATATCGTTTCATTTACATTTATCCATTTACCCATTATAATACTTTCAATATATCGATAAGGCCCGTTTCAGACGTCGATCTTTTGCCGCGTCTAATCTAATTGCTTACAAGAAAAGTCTCGAGAAGTTTGCAATCTACATCGATTGATATTACGGATTATAGTAAGTTTGTCCACAAAATCTATACTAATGTCAATAAATTCAGAGTACAAAATGCTCATAAATTCAACTCCATCAATTAGATTAGACTCGAAAAAAGATCGCCGTCTGAAACGGGCCTAAGATATCGAAGTCAGGGAGTGGYCACGTGTCAATCGGAAAGGAATAGTTAAATTGCAAAGCGCGCGAAAAYRTTAAAATCGAGTTCATTTCATTTTGCCGGCAGTTGTTCTTGAAATGGAATAAGCAGTGAAGAGSCTKCWTYTTTTCCTGSTACAGATCTTTGTATAGTTGCACGAAGCGAGGAAAAAGTTTTCACTTAAAAAAAAAAGTTTCCACCAAATAGATTGCATGGTTTTTATGCGTTGGATAAGGACTTTAATATCCACGGGTTGATAGCGCTATTCACACTTAGCACAAATGAACACCAGAATGACTAGACTGATGGCACGCAGAAGTCGCTATGAACAAATAACAAATGTCATTCCGAATTTGGATAAATCGTACAGCGCACCCTTCTTCTGTCTCGCGCACGTTCTCCTGTATAGTATAACGAGTTCCACGTATAGACCTGAGTAGTTGTCAAGATTAATTAACGTTTACTTCTGATATATAAAGTTAGTTGAAACCCATGGAGTTAACTGTGAGTGCTATATCACAAAAACTTTTTATGTACTGGGTGTAAATTTACTAAATTTGAATATAGGCAGACATATGTGCAAATTGCCGGGCTCCGCAGCTGTTCAAACTTGCAGCTCTTAATCTAAAATTCTAATCCCTAAACCAATATATGAGATATTTATGATCCATTACGAATTTTGTGATTAATGTAGTGCAAATAATGTATATATATTCTTGGTGCAATACCCAAAAAATACGTGAGATTGATTTTTTTTGATATTAAGAGTTACATCTCTCCCGCCGATTTGTTTATAAATTCTGACAGTGGGAGCTCTCTTTCTATTAATATTGCATGCAAGATTCTTGTTTTGATATATTGTAAGGTCTGAAGAATAGCGCGGCGTGTCTTATTAGTATATATAAAATTTGGAACTACAGTGAATGATTTACTACATGGTTGTTATAGTACAAGTAAAAAGGCTGTATTTTCACAAGACTAGTGTTGAATAACTCGAAATCTCGTGAAATCTATTTTGCTAATTGTGCATATTATTTCGCTCAAGAAGAATTAAGAAAAATAATTAAGTGTATGAATGAGAAAAAATAGATAGAAAATATATCTTGCGCTTCAAAATATGCATTGAGAAGTGTAATAATATGTAATTATCATTTTTTAATGATGAACTTCGCAAAAAAACTAGTAAAATATAACGTAAATATATAGACCAAATAGAGAATAGTATAAATATTTAAGGAAATAAAGATGAAAGATTCATGAAACACGTCAAAACATGTTAAATCGAGATTACATTCATATGTCGAGGAAACGAGGAAGTCAAAAAATTGCTTAAAGGCAAACAGGTGAGTACAAAAACCTCATTTTCGTCTTAGAAAAAAAATGATGATAATTATTTTTTTGGCTTTCATAATGTCGCGAAGCGTGTCATATGATTAAATGTACGTTGATTCGATTAAAACAACCTTTGTGGAAGGTATATGCATTTATTATCACATTGATCCTTGAAATAGTAGAACGGTTTTAAAAATTAAAGGTGGTGGTCTATTTTTTTTTAAATACCTTTTTAAAGAAAGGAAGTATACCCAGTCAACTGGTGCGTGTGGCGCAAGTCATTGTAATATAAGTACAAGAATCAAGAAGGATGAAAACAACTAATGTAAGCCCTACATCTGCTTTTATAAATGCATTGCTCTTGAAAACTAGTATTTATAACTATAAGGCCTCCGAAACACTGATTTTTTAGTTTACGTAGCGCCTTTTCAATCGTTTGGCTGACTAAAATGGAAAACACGGGACGAAAACACAGATTTCAAAACTTAGAAGTCGTTTTCTTGCGGCCTCTGAGGTTAAAATTATAATATGAATATAATATACTGAATTATTACGAGGTTTATATTGAATTCTACCAAACGAAAACGCATAATTTAAAACATGAAAGTCTTTTTTTATTGCGCAACTGAGTTCGAAAAAAATATAAATGCAATATACTGGTAYAATACAAGGTTTGTATTGAATCTTTCTATGTCGCATCCAATACCTACTCACATCAATAAATTTAAAGCGACTATTTGTCTTTACGATGTTATCACCTATGTGCAAATTCTATTTTGATCTAAAGATCAGGCAAAGAAASTAAAATATTGATCTAAAGAATATACTGTAATTTCTCAGTTCATTTTAACCGTCACAACGATACATTATCTAAATTACAATGCCTTTTCTCTGACACTTGTGGTTTGTACTGCTTATAAGTACTGGTATTGAAGGCGGAAGCTGAAAATTCTGTAATTAAGGGTACAGTTTCATAGCGAATAAACTCTTTGATTGGCGGTTTTAAAGAAGATGTGACAGAGAGACACGTTCATTTATGACTAAGAGCAAAAGCCAAAGCAAAAGCCGCATCACTAATGAGGGCTGAATGTGGGACGATRATGAAAGATCAGGCATTTATTCAGAACATTCTGTTTCAGAAGTCGATGATACCGAGGGTTTTCTCAAATAAAATCGTGGAACTGCAGTAGAAAGGAGTGACAGACCACAACTCCTACCTCAAGAAGACGAAAAAGAAAAGAAATTTAGACATTTTCTTGAGATGTTTTACTTTCAAGTTCGATTTTAATTAATGTGAACATCTCGACGAGAATGAAAACCTCCAGCCTCGTTTATGACATCTTCAAGATCCAAAAAGGAAAACAGGAAAAAAATGGACATTCATAAGTGAAAGAAAGAGTAGGTGTTATAGAATCTTAAAACAAGAGATCTCTATAGTTACCATAGTGTAACAAAAAGCAGTATCAACACAGAGTGAATTGGAGATATCACATTTAAAAGCGACCGAACATAAAAATTATATATTGTGAGGCCAACAAAATATAGCCAGGTGGAGAGAGGACTGGAAAGAGCAGCAACGGTACCGAAGAAGGAGTAATAATAATTTATCTAGAATAACAAAAGCAGGACTTTATCAGTAAGGTATTTAAGGCAATATTCATCTATTTTTACGTAGAAGAACACGGCCTTAGTAAAAAATTAAAAGGACAGCACCAACGTCTAAACAACATTATCAACAAATATCGACTATTTCTTTAGCATATGTTAAAAATAAGCTACAGCTGCAAAGTAGTCTTCAGATTTAACCAAAATATCCACAAAAATCGATGATTTTCTACACGTAAAAACYAACTGARCAACAAGGTCTGYATTTGCTCTGATCACCAAGGACGAKAACATCAGCMAAATTATCATAGCAGAGCTAGCAACAGCTGTG